CTCTCACACACGGTCAGCGCACCTTGTTACAGGATATATAAAACACACACTGGATACACAGCAGTTGTATATCTGGATATATTTATATATTAATCCTGCACTGAGCTCTCACACACGGTCAGCGCACCTTGTTACAGGATATATAAACACACACTGGATACACAGCAGTTGTATATCTGGATATATTTATATATTAATCCTGCACTTAGCTCTCACACACGGTCAGCACACCTTGTTACAGGATATATAAACACACACTGGATACACGGCAGTTGTATATCTGGATATATTTATATATTAATCCCGCACTGAGCTCTCACACACGGTCAGCGCACCTTGTTACAGGATATATAAACACACACTGGATACACGGCAGTTGTATATCTGGATATATTTATATATTAATCCCGCACTGAGCTCTCACACACGGTCAGCGCACCTTGTTACAGGATATATAAACACACACTGGATACACAGCAGTTGTATATCTGGATATATTTATATATTAATCCTGCACTGAGCTCACACACGGTCAGCGCACCTTGTTACAGGATATATAAACACACACTGGATACACAGCAGTTGTATATCTGGATATATATATATATTAATCCCGCACTGAGCTCTCACACACAGTCAGCGCACCTTGTTACAGGATATATAAACACACACTGGATACACAGCAGTTGTATATCTGGATATATTTATATATTAATCCCGCACTGAGCTCTCACACACGGTCAGCGCACCTTGTTACAGGATGTATAAACACACACTGGATACACAGCAGTTGTATATCTGGATATATTTATATATTAATCCTGCACTGAGCTCTCACACACGGTCAGCGCACCTTGTTACAGGATATATAAACACACACTGGATACACGGCAGTTGTATATCTGGATATATTTATATATTAATCCCGCACTGAGCTCTCACACACGGTCAGCGCACCTTGTTACAGGATATATAAACACACACTGGATACACAGCAGTTGTATATCTGGATATATTTATATATTAATCCTGCACTGAGCTCTCACACACAGTCAGCGCACGTTGTTACAGGATATATAAACACACACTGGATACACAGCAGTTGTATAGCTGGATATATTTATATATTAATCCCGCACTGAGCTCTCACACACGGTCAGCGCACCTTGTTACAGGATATATAAACACACACTGGATACACGGCAGTTGTATATCTGGATATATTTATATATTAATCCCGCACTGAGCTCTCACACACGGTCAGCGCACCTTGTTACAGGATATATAAACACACACTGGATACACGGCAGTTGTATATCTGGATATATTTATATATTAATCCTGCACTGAGCTCTCACACACGGTCAGCACATCTTGTTACAGGATATATAAACACACACTGGATACACAGCAGTTGTATATCTGGATATATTTATATATTAATCCTTGTTACAGGATATATAAACACACACTGGATACACAGCAGTTGTATATCTGGATATATTTATATATTAATCCTGCACTGAGCTCACACACGGTCAGCGCACCTTGTTACAGGATATATAAACACACACTGGATACACAGCAGTTGTATATCTGGATATATATATATATTAATCCCGCACTGAGCTCTCACACACAGTCAGCGCACCTTGTTACAGGATATATAAACACACACTGGATACACAGCAGTTGTATATCTGGATATATTTATATATTAATCCTGCACTGAGCTCTCACACACTGTCAGCGCACCTTGTTACAGGATATATAAACACACACTGGATACACGGCAGTTGTATATCTGGATATATTTATATATTAATCCCAAGACTGAGCTCTCACACACGTCAGCACACCTTGTTACAGATATATAAACACACACTGGATACAATAAGCAGTTGCATATCTGATATATTTATATATTAATCCTGCACTGGGAGCTCTCACACACGGTCAGCCACATCTGTTACAGTGATATATAAACACACACTGGATACACAGCAGTTGTATATCTGGATATATTTATATATTAATCCCGCACTGAGCTCTCACACACGGTCAGCACACCTTGTTACAGGATATATAAACACACACTGGATACACAGCAGTGTTATATCTGGATATATTTATATATTAATCCTGCACTGAGCTCTCACACACGGTCAGCACACCTTGTTACAGGATATATAAACACACACTGGATACACAGCAGTTGCATATCTGGATATATTTATATATTAATCCTGCACTGAGCTCTCACACGGTCAGCACACCTTGTTACAGGATATATAAACACACACTGGATACACAGCAGTTGCATATCTGGATATATTTATATATTAATCCTGCACTGAGCTCTCACACACGGTCAGCACACCTTGTTACAGGATATATAAACACACACTGGATACACAGCAGTTGTATATCTGGATATATTTATATATTAATCCCGCACTGAGCTCTCACACACAGTCAGCACACCTTGTTACAGGATATATAAACACACACTGGATACACGGCAGTTGTATATCTGGATATATTTATATATTATTCCTGCACTGAGCTCTCACACACTGTCAGCACACCTTGTTACAGGATATATAAACACACACTGGATACACAGCAGTTGTATATCTGGATATATTTATATATTAATCCCGCACTGAGCTCTCACACACGGTCAGCACACCTTGTTACAGGATATATAAACACACACTGGATACACAGCAGTTGTATATCTGGATATATTTATATATTAATCCCGCACTGAGCTCTCACACACAGTCAGCACACCTTGTTACAGGATATATAAACACACACTGGATACACAGCAGTTGTATATCTGGATATATTTATATATTAATCCTGCACTGAGATCTCACACACGGTCAGCACACCTTGTTACAGGATATATAAACACACACTGGATACACGGCAGTTGTATATCTGGATATATTTATATATTAATCCCGCACTGAGCTCTCACACACGGTCAGCACACCTTGTTACAGGATATATAAACACACACTGGATACACAGCAGTTGTATATTTGGATATATTTATATATTAATCCCGCACTGAGCTCTCACACACGGTCAGCGCACCTTGTTACAGGATATATAAACACACACTGGATACACAGCAGTTGTATATCTGGATATATTTATATATTAATCCTGCACTGAGCTCACACACGGTCAGCGCACCTTGTTACAGGATATATAAACACACACTGGATACACAGCAGTTGTATATCTGGATATATATATATATTAATCCCGCACTGAGCTCTCACACACAGTCAGCGCACCTTGTTACAGGATATATAAACACACACTGGATACACAGCAGTTGTATATCTGGATATATTTATATATTAATCCTGCACTGAGCTCTCACACAGTCAGCACACCTTGTTACAGGATATATAAACACACACTGGATACACAGCAGTTGTATATCTGGATATATTTATATATTAATCCTGCACTTAGCTCTCACACAGTCAGCGCACCTTGTTACAGGATATATAAACACACACTGGATACACAGCAGTTGTATATCTGGATATATTTATATATTAATCCTGCACTGAGCTCTCACACACGGTCAGGACACCTTGTTACAAGATATATAAACACACACTGGATACACAGCAGTTGTATATCTGGATATATTTACATATTAATCCTGCACTGAGCTCTCACACACGGTCAGCACACCTTGTTACAGGATATATAAACACACACTGGATACACAGCAGTTGTATATCTGGATATATTTATATATTAATCCTGCACTGAGCTCTCACACACGGTCAGCACACCTTGTTACAGGATATATAAACACACACTGGATACACAGCAGTTGTATATCTGGATATATTTATATATTAATCCCGCACTGAGCTCTCACACACGGTCAGCACACCTTGTTACAGGATATATAAACACACACTGGATACACAGCAGTTGTATATCTGGATATATTTATATATTAATCCTGCACTGAGCTCTCACACACGGTCAGCACACCTTGTTACAGGATATATAAACACACACTGGATACACAGCAGTTGTATATCTGGATATATTTATATATTAATCCTGCACTGAGCTCTCACACACGGTCAGCGCACCTTGTTACAGGATATATAAACACACACTGGATACACAGCAGTTGTATATCTGGATATATTTATATATTAATCCTGCACTGAGCTCTCACACACGTCAGCGCACCTTGTTACAGGATATATAAACACACACTGGATACACAGCAGTTGTATATCTGGATATATTTATATATTAATCCCGCACTGAGCTCTCACACACAGTCAGCGCACCTTGTTACAGGATATATAAACACACACTGGATACACAGCAGTTGTATATCTGGATATATTTATATATTAATCCTGCACTGAGCTCTCACACACAGTCAGCGCACCTTGTTACAGGATATATAAACACACACTGGATACACGGCAGTTGTATATCTGGATATATTTATATATTAATCCCGCACTGAGCTCTCACACACGGTCAGCACACCTTGTTACAGGATATATAAACACACACTGGATACACAGCAGTTGTATATCTGGATATATTTATATATTAATCCTGCACTGAGCTCTCACACACGGTCAGCACACCTTGTTACAGGATATATAAACACACACTGGATACACAGCAGTTGTATATCTGGATATATTTATATATTAATCCTGCACTGAGCTCTCACACACGGTCAGCACACCTTGTTACAGGATATATAAACACACACTGGATACACAGCAGTCGGTGTAAGGACATATAAAGGACTGGACACAATATTCCCTCCATAACCAGCAATATGAGGAGACACTCTGCTCACCTGCTGCTCTCACTCACTCACTCACTCGGCAGTTTCCCCCTTCATTTAATAACTGGAGGACTTGCTGAACTCCCTCAGTAGCAAATCGGCCAGAACAAGAAAAAAAAATAAAAATAATTCAACGACAGCAGCCGTACAGCGAGAGGGAGCCCCCACGCTGCGTCACTTTACGGCACTGTCGAAAAGGCTTCCCTGTCCCTAACAGAAGCCCGTGCCCTCGATTCCGATTGGCTGGCGGCTGCCACGTGACGCCGCGAGTGCACCCGCTCGCTCCTCCTCTTTCGTCTTCTTCTTCTTCTCTCCGACATCTTGTGTGCGGCCGCAGAGCCGCTCGCACGTAATGGATGCTGCAGACTCTCTCTGAAGCCCTCACAAACCCCGCGGGGCTTACTGCTGCGAAATGACAGTTTAAAAAAAAAAAAAATAGGCATAGGGCCATAAATTGTTACCTTTTTTTTTTGCCATTTATTTACATTGACCATTATATTTCAGTAGTTATTGGGTCTCTATAGGCTGGAGCTGGTCCCACCAGCAGGTTTAATGCTTTATTTAGAAACCAAACTGAGCATATTATGAAAAAAAATAATAGCTGTAATCTGAACATGTATAGCTTGGAGGAAAGATTAGACAGGGGGGATAGGATATAAACATTTAAATATATAAAGGGAATCAACACAGTAAAGGAGGAGACTATATTTAAAAGAAGAAAAACTACCACAACAAGAGGACATAGTCTTAAATTAGAGGGACAAAGGTTTAAAAATAATATCAGGAAGTATTACTTTACTGAGAGGGTAGTGGATGCATGGAATAGCCTTCCAGCTGAAGTGGTAGAGGTTAACACAGTAAAGGAGTTTAAGCATGCGTGGGATAGGCATAAGGCTATCCTAACTATAAGATAAGGCTAGGGACTAATGAAAGTATTTAGAAAATTGGGCAGACTAGATGGGCCGAATGGTTCTTATCTGCCGTCACATTCTATGTTTCTATAACCTGTACTGTGCGGCTTCAGCTCACTCATAGTGTGAACTAATAAGTTTGATAAAATTAGCTGTTAAATTAATTTGGTGACTTCTGGTCAGTCTTCTGGAGGTTTATTCTCCACAGGTTTTTTTATTTTAATTTTCTTAATTTTTGTAGTGCGTAGTAATGCATACAAGCTTGGAATGACATTTTGTCAAAGCATTGACAATATGATGAGGTATAGCGATAAGGCACAAAACAACATGAAACACTGCACCACTTTTGTAATTTATAAAAAGCGATATCTATGCATATGTGTTGTGGCTATAGAGACATGCAGTACTACCCTACCTGGAGTTTACCAAAGCTAGATTCTTGACAGTTTGTACCTGATGGTGATTTTTATTTATTTTTATTTTTTTTGCGCTGTTTTGCCTACACTTTTAAAAATTCACATAACTTGTAGCACAAAAATAGTTATCGTTTCACTAAAAAGTATCCTAATATTTTTATTTGTTGTTGTACATCACGCACAGACACATTGTGCTGCAATTTTGTTTTGTTAAGATGTTTGTACAGCAGTATGAGTCTCTGATTTGTGTTCAGAAATATGGGTGTTTTATGTGAAATTACAGGGCTGAAAAGGACATTCAACTGTTTCATGTTTAGAAGCGGTAGTTTTCATTAGTTGTCTCGGTTTGGGCCATTTTTATATTCTTATGGTCCAAAAATCAAAGCATGCCTTTTGCAAAAGTTCACATCCTGGATATTTAATAAGACTTATAATTTGGTTTTCACTGTGACTTTTATCACCAATTTTGGCCTATGTATTTATGGTTCCTCATGGCTCAGGCTTGTCAATTTTTTTCCCCTCTCGTTTCTACAGAGATCCTTTGCGTTAAGCCCAACCAATCTAAGGCTTGGTAATACGCCTCTTATCTTTCCTACCCTAAAGTGGATCTATACTTTTTGTTGGAGCTTATTGTCATCCTGACTGAATCTTAATGATAGACCTGTAACTCGTGTAGCATTTTAGCAGCCGCCAATACATATCACCTATACGTACAATTTTCATAAGAAATCTACCCAGGGTATTTAGAGATTAATGGAGCCATTCTATAATTTGTATTGAACTTAGAGGAAATATTTTTTGCCCTCCTGCATTCTTCACTTAGAATTTACTTTCACAGTAAAATATGCAAGATTGTTGTTCACTAGTGTAGTTAAACCTCCTAATGTTCTTATTAGATGTATCCCCCTTGAATAGGTAGTGTTTTATTTTATTTTTTTTGTCACGTTACAGGGTCATATTAGTGACATGTACATTTTTCAGTTTTCTGACCGCATTTGGTTGCTGGACTAAGGTCTTGCTTTGGCGCTTAATAGCATTAAAATTTTTTTAAATTACTCCATAAAAGTATACCATGTGCAAAAGTACAGATCCTATGGTACTTCTCATTATGTGGAGCGGTTTGCTATAGCCATTTTATTAGAAACTTTAGCCATTTTTAAATATTCCACCTGCTCCCCCCATATTTGTCTCTGGCACTGCATTTATGCTGTGAATTTTGTAAGCTTGACGTTTGCTAATGCACTAAAGCCTCCTATTTCTTCTTAGATGCATCCCCCAAGTGCAACAATACAACCCACTTATGTTTTGTTTCCCTGATGTAACCGGGACAAATAAGAGACCTACCCACTTTCACTTTTTATATATTGCATTTTGTGAAAGTTTGTAGTTTTGAAATGAAAATTACCATATAAAGGCATACCAATTTGAAAAGTAGAAAGGTAAGGGTAATTCTCATGGTGAGCCCATGCGTCATTTCGGGGCACTTTCAGGTTCAGAAATTTAAAGAGATGTGTTCTTCTGCATTCAAGAACAGAGATGTCATCTTTAACAACTTCTATACTTGCTTCTGATAAATAGAACTCTTAAGCTATTTGGGGGAAAGTAGCTCTTTCTAAATTAAAAAAAAAAACAGACAAAAACATGCATGCAACATATGGAACTAAAGATTGGCCATTGTGATAAATCTTGAAGAAACTGCCCACACAAAGTCCGTTGGGGCATTCTGCACAGTGGTCCCTTGTGTACATTGGTTGTGCCTTGTGGTAGCACACTCTTTATCACTTTCGGGTGAAGGTTTTGTCAATTTTGGAAAAGATTAAATGCTGCACCCCCAATTGTTATTTGCAGCTCAGAATTTGGGAAAGTGCTCTTCACGCCATGCATTATAAGTAGCAATGTCGATTAAATAAATCACCCTTTTGTAGCAATTGCAAAGCAGAGGTCTCACCCCTTAATTTTTTTTTATCATTGTGTAGGGAACTCTTTACGGACTGGCCTTACATTTCCACGTGCTACAGTTTCAAAGAAAAACTTGTACAAACATGTTCAATTTAAGGGTGATAATTTTTATTCAGCAAGGAATAAATGAGGTCCCATACCACTTAGGCACTTGTGTTAATATCATCTGGGCAACCTGGAGGGTCAAGAAGTGAGTCCTTGCTCTTGGATAACCTGGCCTAGAGGAAACTGTGTATCCAGTAGTATTGTTGCAGACTATAACTTCAGTGTTTAGAGGGTACATAATGTCTATGCCTAGTTTCCCTTTGAAAGTCATCATTTAAACATTTGCATAGAATATATACTTGTGAAAATGTGGCCTGTGATTGGGTAAGAAAGCATATCAGTCTGGGTACTTATTTTAGAGGGAGACATAGTGTTATCACTGCAATGCATAAAATGCATTTTAAATTGTCATCATGGGGAGTGAAAGGTAGTGAAAATGGGGTCGCGGCTCCAATATATGCACAAAGTTTGTCTTTTTACCGATACCCATTAATAAAGTCAGAGCCCAGAACGTCTGCATTTCCTGAACATCTGTGGGCTGCTATGCCTTTTTTGTCTGGCAGTTGGGTATCTGGGATTTTATGCAAGGTACTGTGCAGCATAAAGATTAATCTAAGCCACTACTTGCCCAAGTACTTTATCCCAGAGGAACCTGCTAAAGTTTACTTTCATATCAGTGATGGCAGTGAAAGCAGCTATTTTTGGTACCTAGGCATTTTGCACTGTCCATGTCAAACCAGAATCTGGGACAATAGTTGGGCTAGCGTCTGGGTCAAGCATCCTCTGTAGTAGTGTCACTGTCATTAAACCTAACAACATCAAACTCCTGATGCAGAGTTAGTATCACATTGCAAAATGGCATATGTCTCCCCTACACTAAGTATGTAAGCTTGCTAGTTTACAAAATGTGTAAAACTAAAAATATTTATTCTTCTAACAACCAAGCATCTCCTCTGTTGCCAATTACTTTGCTAAAACCTTTTTTTTCTTTAATACACAAGCATTTTCTGCAATTTTTCCCTAAGACAAAATATAAATCTAACCCTTTTTAGTGGGGAAAAAATGCAGCGCATCTACAGGTGATCATCGTACTATACAGCAATAATATATTTTTTTAAATGTAGCTTTTCTTTTAAGTTTCCAAAGTTTAACACAATGGGGCGCAGGTCCCTACTTTTGGTGAATATTTCTTGTCTTGCAGGACTTTATACTAGGTTAATTTGCAAAGAACACGCATGTCCTCCCATATTTTACAATTAACATGATGTGAAATCATGATTTTATTAATGACACGTGGCTCCTATTATGTAGCGGCACTGTCACACCAAATGTACATTCTCCTAGTGTTTCGTCTTCTCTTCCTCTCTCAGAATCTGTTCTTTTCTGATCTAGTTTTCTTTAAAACATAAGGCAAAGTAGGGTCTACTGTCTTATGTATTTTTCCTACACTTGACTTCCTTTGATCAAAGGAGAAGCTTAAGTCAGCTCCGTTACCTGTGTCATAGAGGGTTTTCCCACAATACTCACCCTCCTTGACAAAGGAAATGGAGCCGACAATAGTGTGCTCCATAAATGGTGCGACTTACTCCTCTTTCTTGCGAAAAGAACAAAGACCAAAATAATCGAACACTAGAGCCAAAAAATTTATTAGCATCCAATCCAAGAAAACCTAATCGACCAATAAAAGAAACAAAGGTGCTGCATTCAAGCTAGATAAAAGGTAAAAAATGGTAATATCCAAGATCCATAACCATCTAAAATAACAATTTCACCATGACAAGTAAAACAAAGCAATCAGTTGACCATATCAATGAAATATAACATGTCTGCGAACAAACATATCATCATATCCTTTCTCCGAGATCATAAGCTGGAAGTTACACAAAGCTCTCACTCCCGTTTCTTCCAGCCTTTGCCTGCGACGGCTAATCCCTTAATGCACTTGACCTGCAAATAAAGTGTAATGAAATCAGCTGGTGTCCTATTCCTTCCCAAGACTTGTTTCGCCTGTAAAATCTGCTTTCTCTAATTGGTTATCAATGGTAACTTGTCCATATTTATGTATCTGAGATCGTGAGCCTGCTCTCACTCACGTTCCTTACGGTCTATGTCTGCAACTACTAATCCCATAATGCACTTGACCTGCACAGCGGCACGTCACTTGCGGGCTGGGTTCTCCGATCTCTTGGATTATAGAGCAAATGATTATCAGGCCATAAGGAGTCCATTATAGTACATTTATATTGCACATATTTGCCTGAAAATGTGTATATATAAAACAAAATTAAAGTATTGTAAAACATAGACTCATCAGAAAAATACATATTTATATAAAACAAATACTATAAAATATGATGGGATGGATTAAAATGTGTGTGTGTGTGTGTGCATAATATATATAATATATATATATATACACACACACACATTTTAATCCATATGGAATAAACTTCAATATTTGAGAAGGTATTTCAAAATTAATATTCACTCTAGAAATGCAAATATAAAAAGTGACACAATTGTAAAAGCACAATTTGAAATCTGCATTAATACCATATGAGCTTAAAGTATTAAAGGGACGCTATAGTCACCAGAATAACTACAGCTAATTATATTCTGTTGAGAAGAATCATTACCTTCAGGCCTTTTGCTGTAAACACTGTAATTTCAGAGAAAATGCAGTGTTTATATTGCAGCCTAGGGATAACTTCACTGGGTCATGGCTGCCTAAAATGTATCCAAACACTCAGTGTCTCCTCCCTCTGCATGCAGACACTGAACTTTCCTCATAAGATGCATTAATTCAATTTATCACTAAGGACATGCTGATGGGCCAGGGCTGTTTGACTTGTGCTGGCTCTGCCCCTGATCTGGCTCCTTGACAGTCTTAGCCAATCCTACGGGCATGCAGTGTGATTGGCTCAAACCTCCACTTTTCTGATGTCAGCAGACAGAGGCAGCAGCTACAGACTTGAATACAAGTAAGATTTTACTATATTTAGGGATGCCATGGGGGCTAGATGGTGGTTATAACACTGCAGGGTCAAACATACATGCTTGTTCCTGTAAGGTTTAAAATCCACTTCATTTCAGTTTTTCCCAACTTTTTAATAGTATCTCCCTCTTTCCAATATCTGTCCACTTGTGCTGGTATTGAAAAGAACTGTAAAAATTGTGGGCCACTCTTATATATATGTTTAGAAGTCGAGGAAAATCTGCTTACTTTTCCAGTAGCTGTGGGAACCAAGGCTGAGATCCGAACTACAGTACCTTTTGGGAAAATGAAGATGAGCCAGAACCTGAGATAAAATTGTAGGTAATACATAATGCTGTCCTGAAGACATAATGGAGTTCAAGAAATAAAGAGGTACATGTCTAAGGTGCCAGTCCTCTGAATATTGAAGATAACGAGAATTCCAATCCACTGTGGAATTGTCAAGACCTGGACAAGACCTGTTACGCTACAATGGACCATAATGTCGGCGTCTGACAAGGGATTTCTTGTAAAGCATTCTTTGTTACTAATTAGTCACTGAAGCTAGAATAATCCCTAATCTAAATTTTATTGAAGACAGGAGGCGAATATTTGCTTTACTTTCTCTACTGAATCCTCCCAGCAGCAATGAAACCGTTAAACAATTGAAAACAAAATCAAACAATCAGAAGACATCCATAAAGTAATATGTGGCTATGAGACTCCTCCCAATTCCTCTTTCTTGATGCAGCCGAAACTTGAAGTCCACCGTGCAACTAGTCCAATGAAGAGACGAATCAAGGATGCCGTGAAGGACAAGAAGAAACTTCACACTACAATGAAATTTTTTTTTTTTAAAGTATGGTGTGATTGGTAGACTGGCAGTCATACAGAAACAAACACTGTGACAAGGCGTGTCAATAATTATGCGATATACATATATTATAAAAACTAGCGTAATCTAAACATCTTACAATAAAACTATGATCAAAACATATACAAGGCAAGTAAAATGTGTGTAAGACCTCAACTGAGTATCCACAAGTGAACAAAATAAAGTGGTGAGATGAAAGATTTAAAGAAGCCAATGGGTGGGAAAATATTCACCTCCTGTTTTTAATAAAATTTAGGTTTAGTCACTGAAGCTAGAATAATCCCTAATTTTATGGCAAGACAGGAGAGGAGGCTTCATATTTGCTGTTTTAATGCCTGGAGAGTAAATGGAAATAAACGTGAGATGCAGGTCCGAAATATAAGGTACGGAAAGTGGATTCTCGTGATCAATCAGCAGAAGATAGAACATCTGAAAGAGACGACGCACCGCATGGGCACCAAAAGAAGCTTCAATGCTTGCAAGACGAAGCCCTCTAATACAAGTAATCGTGATCGTACACAGGGTTATGAGGACAAATATAAAATACTAACAGAGGTCCCAGTGGAGCCTGAAAATCAATGTAAGCAACGAGCAACACAAGAGAAGGTTTATCCGGAAAATAAGGATAAAAAAAAAAACAGGTGGAAAGAACCTTTGTGCAACCAACAAAGGAAAAATGATCACACTCAGGGTGAACACAATAGCATGGAAGTCATAAGCCATAAGGCTAGCTTGGTTGAGAGTTGGTGCAAGGAAAGTTCTGAATTAGTAGGCAAAGCTTCCAGGAACGACAACCTGAGAAACCTCCCAGAATTGGGTTATTGAGGGTCGAGAAAGACAAATACCCTGTAACAACCTGCAAACTGATGCATTTCTGGTTGGGAATCATCCTTCTATCAGGATATGAGCTGCCAAAATAGCAGAAAGAAGAATGTTTATGGTATGGTAAGACTTTCCTTTGTCAAAAGGAGAAGATAGGAAGTTTATAATATTCACCAAAGTAGTTTGAAAAGGGATCAATATCAAACACCAGCTAACCCAGAAACGCCATGCTGAAAGGTATGCTCTACAATTCCCGGTGGCCCATGAATCCCAGAGGAGTCCTCGAGATGAGTCAGAAAGTCCTGACACATACCATGAAATCGTCCAGGCCTCGAGTCGAAGACTACCTTGGATGACAAGATGATGGAAGTCCCCTGAAGGATCTTGGAGGAGATTGTGAGGTACCAGGAGAAGCAGAAGGTAATCTGCAAACATTTCTAGGAGATTGGGATACAAAAGCTGGGCCCTCCGGAGAGGAGTTAAAAGGATCTTTACTCCAAGAACCCTGCAATGATAAAGAGTTCAAGAGATCTTTAAAAAGGGTGGAAAGGTATAAGCTACTGTCAATGTTTGCCATTGTCACTGTAAGAATGCGTCGACGGCTTAAGACATCGGATCTGGTAGCCAACTGAAAAACAGGGTCGGCCTGACAATTCTGTCTGGAAGCAAACCGGTCCAGAGTGAGTGGCCTGCGAAGCAGGTGTAGATGATGGAAAATGCCTGGAACCAGGTGCCAATCGCTGGCATGTGTCCAGTGACGGGAGAACCAGTCTGCCACGAAATTGTCCAGTCCTGGAAGGTATTCTGCTCGAAGAGAGCGGTTCATGTCCAGACAGAACTGATAGTTTTCTCATAAGGTCTGACAGGAGCTTTGATCCAGAACCCCCTAGACAATTGACTTTACGGACATTGGAAACGTCCATTCTGAGAACCAAAGGACCGTTGTAGGCGTTCCTGGTGAAGCTGTGAATCACAAAGGAAGCTGCCATCAGTTCGAGGCAATTGATATGCAACGTGTGTTCCGATTGTGTCCAGAGTTCACCTGTGGAGAGGTCAGAGCAGGTAGCCCCCCAACCCAGGAGGCTGGTGTCTGACTCCAGAATAAAATTGGGTTGCTACCTGAGGATAGCTTTTCCGTTCCAAGCTTCCATCTTGTGGAGCCACCAATCTAACTCCAGTCGGACCTTGTCGGTAAGAAAATTGGTTAGTCGTATGACCTGGATCTGTGAAAATAATGTCTTGAGACATTGTATTGCCCTGTAGTGTAAAGGGAGACTGAAAATAGTCTTATGATTAGCGCTAAATCGCAAAGATAAACTTGTTGAGGGGACAGCAGCTTCTGAAAAACCTTTTTGATGGATTTTATCTTTGAAGACGGGAGTAGAAGAAACAAAAGGACGGAGTAGATCTGAAGACCCAGGAAAAGAATAGTCTGAGAGGGGATCAGAGAAGATTTATTGAAATCATTACAAATCCAAGGTTCTGAAGGAGAGACTTGGTTATTTCTGTGTGTTTTTCAGGGGTGAACAGATCTTGAGCCATGATTAGGATGTTGTCTAGACAGACGATAGATCCGATACCTTGGAACTGAAGAAGAGCCATAACTGGTTTCATCAACTTGGGGAAACAGCAAGGGGTGGAAGAGAGACCAAAAAGGAGGCAAGTGAGTTGTCAGAGATCTTGTTGCCAGAGGAATTGTAGAAAGAGGCAGTGGGAGAATGCCACCGGAACTGTTTAAGTATATCGAAAGCGGGAGAAGGTCTCGAAGTATGTGAATGCCTTCCATTTAAAATTTTCCATTTTAATTAGTTTCTTAAATTGGTGATAGGGTGAAATTCGTTGGATTTCTTCTGGACTAAGAAACCTAGGTGTGCATGGAGAATGTTTGAGAATGCTTGTCTCTGAGATTGCAGAGTTCTGACTGTAAAATGGCTGTGATCGATCCTCTTGTCTGTGAAGTTGTCTTTGATAGGGGCGGGTATCACCCGAGTTTCAAGGTTCAGTTGGATGACGCCTATAGCTTGTGAAGACAGTCCTGCCGGTAGCTCGGCCTCTATGCCAGAAAAAGGATGAGAGCAGAACACTCTGTTGCAGGGATGTTTAAGCTTTATTAAGAGAGGTGAAAACAGAAACATGTCTGCTGAAATCTTTCATGAATTGATCACCAAACAATAGGCCATTAGCCTCTGGACCGAGTTCTTTAGAACTTAAATTTGCCAATTATGCTTC